GCAACCCTTTGCTTCACAGGCCCGTGCTCAATCCACTGAGCTACACCAGCCAGGGCTATTTAGTTGTCATTTTGATGTGGTTGTGGGAGGAGGTGAATCGTGTTTGCCTATGCCTCCAGCTTGACCATAAGTCATATATGTATATATATTTTTTAATTCATGTATTAAGTACTTAAGTAGCTATCTTATTGATGGTAGCACTATGCTGATTCTTACTTTTCTGATAATGCTTACTAGTAGTATTTACTTTCATCTTTTAATTTTTCTCTTTATGTATTTTAATTTTTTTAAACATGCAACACCTCACAAATTTGACTGCAATCCTTGCACAGGAGCCATACTAATACTCTCTGCCAATTTTACTATATGTGCTGCCAAAGCAAGCACTACTTTTATCTTTCTAAACAATGAACACCTATAAAAATAATTTAGCTTCTACCCAATATGAACTCAACTGTGTACTTCTTCAGACAGTCGTGTAGATGTGCCTGTATGTGTTTAAAAAATGTCTGGAAGGAAATGTACTACAATGCTAATTGTATTTTTCTCAGAACTGTGGGACTATTGGTCATTTTTTGTTTATATTTTATATCACTCTGTATTTTCCAGTTCTTTAAAAGTAATAAGCATGTGTTATTTTATAACACTGCAAAGGGGCCCTGGCTGGTGTGGCTTGGTGGACTGAGCACCAGCCTGCAAACCCAAGGGTCACTGGTTCGATTCCCAGTCAGAGTATATTCCTGGCTTGCAGGTCAGGTCCCCAGTAGGTGATACGTGACAGGCAACCACACACTAATGTTTCTCTCCCTCTGTTTCTCCTTTCCTTCCCCTCTGTCTAAAAATAAATACATAAAATCTTTTTTAAAAAATTGCCTGTGATCCAAGCACATAAAGGAATGTCACCTGCCTTTTAGCAATCTATCCAACATGCAGGTCAAGAGTTACACATACAAACACACACACACAAAACAGAAGTTTCCACATTCCTCTGCTCTTACACACAGGTTCATTCTCTCTCAGGCACATCAGCTCCCACATGACCTGCTCACACACACTCATTTGCTCTCACTCATGCACACAGACACACTCACACACACTGAAATTCAAGGCCAGAATAGAAACGGGAAAGGACACTGAAACAACAAAAAGGTGCAGCCAAAAGAAAGAGAAAAAAAAGGTGCAGCCAAATGTCCCTAGGGACTTCCAATTCCCACCAACAGAGGTGGAGAATTAGAAACTAGGAGACCTGAGCAGCAACACTTCCTTCAGCAGCCTGCTTATGCAAGTACTGTACTGAAGAGGATGGACAGTGTCTACAAGGTTCCTGAAGGGCATTCAGGGCTCAGATGGGGAGGGTCCTCTGGAAAAGATCAGTGACTATCAAAACAGAACTGTGTCAGTGAGCATAATAATTTAACATGAAGATAATCTTTACAATTAATTCCTTTGAAAAATAAATCCAAAATAAACCAGTCCTGCCTCACAATACTCTTAGAATTTATTCTATAATTTCTACTTTACAATGAGTTAGTGGTGACTGCAAAAGCAACAGTCTTCTCAGTATGAAGGGGTCATGCTGATGAGGAATCTTCAGAAATGGTCGAGGCTGTTAAAAAGAACCTATTCAAGTTCACAGCTAGTGCCTGGGCACATCTGACTGGCAGTTACTGTTTCAACCAGAAAGCTCCACTGTAGTCCTCTTTCTCCTGTTCTCTGCAGATTCCTCTTAACACTTATGTTACACCACACCTGATCTATCACCAGGTGATGTAATGAGATCCAGACGCACTGTGACACTGCTGAAGAGGGACACAAAAGCCATCTGTATTATAAATGGGAGCTGCTTCTAGTAAAACTTCAGATGCACAACTTAAATAATTTAAAATGCTTCCTTTATAAACAGATTATATAAGATATTGAACATGCCATCTTTGAAAACTTTGCAATAATCAAGATAATTTAGTTGATATTATCAAGGACAGTAATGTGACCAGCCTAACAGTCTCACCTACTCAATATTTTGAAATCTCAAAGTGGAAAATACAAAAACTTAAGGCCATTATTTCCATTCTCCAGCTTATCTGAACAGTTTCTAAGGTTTTAAAAAACCGTGAATGCTTTAAAACGAATCCTTATCTTTCAGAGATATGAATTGACATATTTATGGGTGAATGATATGTCACATATGTTCCCAAAATAATAGGTGGTTGGGGGGTTTACAGGTGAACCAACACTGCTGAAACTGAGCATTGGCGAGGGGGGAGTTCACTAGACTAGCCTTTTCTCTCTACCTCTGTGTATGTTCAAAACTGTTCTTTTTTAAAAAAAAAATGTATTTATTTTATTTTTAGTGAGAAGGGAAGGGAGGGAGAAAGAGAAGGAGAGAAATTTTGCTGGTAGCCTCTTGTACGTCCCCAACTGGGGGGCCAGGCCTGCAACCCAGGCATGTGCCCTAACTGGGAATAGAACCTGAGACCTTTTGGTTCACTGGCCAGCACTCAATCCACTGAGCCACACCAGCCAGGGCATCCTTTATAATGTATTCCGATAATGGACTTGGAAAAAGCAAGCTTAAATCATAAAGGATAGCTAATCTTACACCAACTCTTACACCAAGACAAAAGTCAATCTTTCATTACCCTGTGAGTTATCTGCTCCAAAACAGATCTCCTCCACCATCCTAGGAAGCTCACTCAAGTCTGGGCACTTAGATCAAGTCTAACACTGTTTCCTGAGCAGCCTGGGAGGACAGACGGAAGGGGCAATGCCACAGGTTCCTTACACTCACCCATCGCCACCAAACCCTGAGTCATATGAGCCTTACCACCAAATTAGAAATTCCACCAGGAGCTTACGAGCAAAGAATTCTGACTCATTTCTATTTTATGGTTATAAGAAAGTTCAGCCCCAAATAGCAACCCAAAGTTTTCCCCATTGTGATCAATAAGGACAGTCACAACAAAAGGTGTTTCTCCAGTGAAAAGAATTTTATGAAAGTCAGTAAGATGAAATTTTGTGGGAATATTTTGAGCTACCAAATCTAAGAAGTTGAGCCCTGGCTGGTATGGCTCAGTGGATTGAGCAGCGGCCTGCGAACCAAAGGGTCGCTGGTTCGATTCCCTATAGGAGCACATGCCTGGGTTGTGAGCCAGGTCCCCCCAGTCAGGGGCCTACGAGAGGCAACCACACGTTGATGTTTCTCTCCCTCTCTTTCACTTTCCCTTCCCCTCTGTCTAAAAAATAAATAAATAAATAAATAAATAAGACTTAAAAAAAAAAAAAAAAAGAACAAGTTGAGAGCCATGTAAATGTTATTAGCCAAAAAAACCTAGTTCTGGTCCCTGTGCTAGCACTGACTATTTAACTTGTGGGGAGTTGGGAAAGTTGTCTAACCTTTCAGGGCTTCCATTTCTTACCTGTAAAGTGAGATGAAGCCTGCTTGCCTACTACTACCTCAGAGAAAGGTGGTGATGACCCAGTGAAAACATAAATGAGCCTCACATAAGCTGTAAAGTACTCTGTCCATGTCAGGTTATGATTAAAAAAAACACACACACACAAATGTTGTATTTTTAAAACATTTTTGGTGAAATGAAAAAGGGTATGTTTGAAGAGAAGACCCATCACACTAGTTAATAACAACCAAGGATGCCCAAGGTGCTCTCCAGCCCAGGAGCAAGAAGGAAAAGCACCAAAGAACCTGGACCAGTAATCACTATCCCCGCTAACCACAGAGGAAATTACATATTTCCATGCCCATCTGATTAAGACATAGGAGACCCATCTGAGCGATGTCTTTCAGCCCAGTGCTAAGCACAAGCACCGTGCCAATGGAAGCTGACGGGGGCATGCACATCTTCCTGGGCTCAAGGAACATTGTGAATACTGGGAATGGGGGGCGGGGGTATGGCACACAGGTCCCTTATAAAGGTTCTTAGTTACAACACCCTAAATACCAGGGTGTCAATTTTACCTCTTTTCTTAAAAATCTCTTGATTTAAACATGCCTATCTACTTGAACACCCACTTAACAAATATCTGCTTGTTTTGAGAAGTCCATAAAATACAAAAACTGGAAGATCAGCATTTTAGGAATTTCCTACTACTAACCAAAATATTTAAAAGTGAAAATCAGTAACTTATTTCATGTTTACCCAGTTGCTGGCAGAACACACACAGCTCTGCTGTTATCGCCAATTTTCATTAGTGCTGAGACCCAAGAGAAGGGCTGAATCTTGAGACCCACCCACTACCAGAGCAGTTGCAGCCCCTGGACACTGCGTGGGTCCCTTGTCACACTGCACTGTGCATTCCCATGGTTGGCTATGTCTCACCTCTCCTACAAGAGTGGAGGTGGCCCTGATGAAGTTCTGCTCAAGTTTGCATTCCCCATGATGCTCTCAAGCTCATCCCCAGCCCTCCTCCCCTCCTTATCATTCCCTTCCCTTGTTCACAGAGATACAAAAGTGAAATTTTTTAGTGTTCACTGTCTCCCAAACAATAAAAGATAAGTCTACATAGAACATATGCCAAAAAAGGTGTCTATCACCATGATCTTAAGCAGCCGAGCATAGCCCGGCTTTTGAGGTCTGAAGGAGTGATACTTCAGCCAAGCCAGATCTGGGCCCTCAGTTAGAGGAACTGCCAGGCACTTTATTCAGAGGGGCACTTCTATCAAGCAGCTGTCACGGTGTCCCTACGCAGGGAACTCTCCTCGGTTTAAGAAAGACCCAGCTCCTGTGGTGCGGGAAGGGAGGGGGGGCGGTGGTTGGGGGGCGGGTTGCAGGGCAGTGAAAGAAACAAACTCTCTAGAACAGAACCTCTTGAAAAGGAGCCTTGGTAAAATTGAACCAGAGGGCGGGCAAAAATCAATAAAAAGAACAAGCGGGCCCACTGGTATAACCATGCATTTTGCGAACACAGCGGACCGTGTCAGCACGGTGGAGGCGCGCATGGCCAGGCTCTCCTGCTGAGGGCCCCAGGCGCGCTCGCCGACTTACCTGCTCTGCCCCGTAGACCGTGGCGAACTGGACGAAGTCCTCCATGCGGACGAAGCCGTCCCCATCACCGTCCAGGGCATCGAACACCGCTCGAAGGCGGGGGCCGTCCTCCGCACACCCCGTGTGCTCGCTCGTGAGGGAGCAGGTCTGGCTTAAGTCCGATGGCTGGTGCGCGTCCCCGGGACCCACCTCCAGGGTCAACTCCACCGTTGGCGAGGGTAAGGAAGGAAAGAAGTCGACCTCGCCCCTCCCGTGGTTGCTGTGGCTAAAATCCTGCGCGTAGAGAGACGTGCTCTCCTGGCAACTTTGGGGCCCATAATCCTCTGGCTCTGTAGTCCAGAAAAAAAGCGGGCCGAGTTCTGTCAGTTGCTGATCAGGGTCAGGATCGGGGTCAGGACAGGAGGCCTGACTCGGCGGCAGGTAAGAGGCCGCCGGAACCCGCTCGGCGCTCACGTCGGCAGCGTCCAGCTGGCTGAGACCCGGGCGCAGGGCAGGATCTGCGGCCGTAGGGGCGATCCCCGGCCAGTCGAGTCCACCCGGCTCCGGGTCAGGGCACGGGCAGCCCGTGGGGGAAGCCGGTCGGCCCGGCTCCATCTTCATGGACGCGCTCCGGGCCGCAGCGCGGGCCCGCGAGGCCAGTGGTGCGGCGGGCAGAGCGGGCGGCAGACAAAGGCGCTCAGGGCGCGGCGGCGGGCGCGGGCATCCCCGCGGCGGCGCGGGCGTGCGCGCACGGGGCTCCCGGGCTGCTCGGGCTGGCTCTCGGGCCCAGCTCCGCCCTTGCCCATGTTGGCGCTGCCCCTCAGCTGCCCTCGGCCCCGCAGCACGGCGGGCGACGGCCCATGGCGGTAGGCACGGGGAGGGCAAGGAGGAGGACAGGCAGCGGCGTGTGGCCCGGGGGCCAAGGAGTGCGACGGAGAGGACGCTGAGGAGGACGCGGAGTAGGGTGAAGAGAGAGGATGAGACGCCGGAGGTACCCAAGCGAACGCCGCCGCCCTTGCCCCGCCCTCTGTCCGGAGTTACGTACACACGCCGCGGCGCCCTCCGGCCCCGCCCCTCTCCCACTTGCTACAAAAGGCGGGCGGCGGGCCGCAGGAGGGAAGAATATTGGGGTAGTGTGCGGAGTCTTTGATGCAGGCAGTGTGGGTTCTTATTCTCTCGTTCTTTGCCAGACCCCGGTCTGGATCCCGACCCTCGATTCAGGAGCTGTCCTCGGGAACTGCAAAGGCATACGTGATGTCACTGCCGGGCAGGCGGGGATAGCCGACCCACGCACAGTGCGGATGAATAAACTGCGCTGAGAGGAGGACGAAAAACCCCTATGCTCACCTGTCCCAAAGGGTCTGAGTCCTGCCTACGTAAAGCACTGTCACAAATGGATAAACAAAGAACACCATCCTAATGGGATGGGGTACTGCGAGTGGCACTGAGCACAACCCCCACGTGGCACCGCCTCCTGACGCACGTGCGCTTGCTGCGCCTCTTCTCCCACAGCCCGCTCCTCTCCGCAGATTCCCACAGTGCGAATAGGTCGCAGGCTTTACCTGCGTGGCGCGCAGAGGTGGGCAGAAACAGGAACTGAACCTCGCTATCCCTACAAGGGTGGGAGAGCACCAAAAATGCTGTTTATCTCACTTCTAACTGAAGGTACACGTGGTTGAACACTGAGGTATTTTTTAAGCCTATGAAAAAGGTGTTTTTCACAGGGTGTACAGTGTTGATCACCAGTCTGCAGTCAGGCCTCCCAAGCAAAGTGGCTGTCTTTGACAACTGGCATCTGTTTCTCTAGATGTCACTTTCATCAATGAGGACACGGGACACCAGACAGAAACATGGGCACCCTGCAGCAAGCATGACAGTGAAGACTTGCCAGTTAGAAACAGGTGAACTGCCAGGCCCCAGGCGAGATTCTAAATTTAGCCTATAATGAAATGAATCAGGGGAAAGTATGAACTGATATTTTTATACGCCGTGGGCACCCAAACCAGATATGTTTCATAAGCAGCTTTGGCAAGAACCAAAGGAAACTGAACCTCTGTTTCCAAGTGTACAGTGAGGAGCAGAGTGTTAATTAAATGAGTCATCTCCCATGACAAAATCCCAGGACATGTGGTACCGAATTTTTACGAGGGGGGCATTGGAAAAAGAAAAACAAGGGATCCCCTTCCCCAAACTATATTCTCAAGTTCTTTGAAGAGCTGTATGCTTTCATCAAGAAGATACTGTGTTCAGAAAAAAAAAAAAATCTCCAGTTTTGGCAAGAATTTCAAATGGGACTGTTGCCTTTGGCCAGATAGAATTTTCAGAGGTAGTTATAGTGATGTGCTCACCTTTCTAAATAACCATGTTAATGTGGGTGTGGTAAAGAAAAAAAAACCTGACAGGGCTGCATCCTAAGTAAGCAGACACTCCTCCCCTACTGCTGGGCTGATGCCAGAAAATTCTGCATTCACTAGCTGGCTGATATGCCAAAATGGAACTGTGGCATTGTGAGTATGCACCCTCCTGCTTGGACCAATTCAACAGACTTTCTGTGAAACATTAAAAGTGATCATTTGGGGTCAGTCATTAAAACCTTAAGCATCTCCTTTGTGGCAGGTGAACATTTTGGATGGGTAACATTCCAGATGAAATGAACCAGCTCAGTATAACCCCTGCTACCATTTCTCCATGCCTACTGCTATGCAAGTTTTCATTCAACAGGTATCAAGTACACAGAAGAGGAAGGGAGGTTGAGGGCAGCTCACATCTGATGGTTTTTGAGTCTGGGTGACTGTGAAAACCTCCCTCTGTGAATGTTTTCAAAGTTACTTGGGTAAACACTCATCTTTGGAACTCTGTAAGCAGCTGGGTCTCCTAATCCCTCTCCCCTGGTGACCTTGGCCTGTGGGGGAAAATAGGAAGGTAACTCAGGAGATTCCTAGCTGTGTGGCACAGCCCTGGTGGACCTGCCAGGGAAGTAGAGAGAAAGTGGGTCAAGAAACCTTAATCAAAGTAGGGCCTCTCCATCATCTGGGTGAGACCTGGCCACTAACAGAGGTAGGGGGAGGGGTACAGGCAAGCTTAATTTGATCATGAATCTACTTTTAATGTACTTTTTAAATTTTATTTATTTTTAGAGAGAGGGGAAAGGAGAGAGAAAAAGAGGCACATAAACATCGATGTGCATGAGAGGAACATCAATTGGTTGCCTTTCACATGCCCCCAACTAGGGACCTGACTCACAACTCAGGCATGTGCCCTGACCAGGAATCAAACCGGCAACCTTTCGGTTCCCAGGCTGGCACTCAATCCACTGAGCCACACCAGCCAGGGCTAAATGTACACTTTTTAAAACCAGAAGGAAATACACCAAAGTTATAGTAAACATTACATATGATTTCTACTCTGATGCACTTAAAATATCATCTCAATTTCTCTCTCTCTTTTTTAAAATTCTCACTCAAGGATGTGTTTTCACTCATTTTAGAGAGAGAGGAAGGGAGAAAGAGAAACATCAATATCAAAGGCAAACATCTATCGGCTGCCTCCTACTTGAGCCCAATGGGGGTCAAACCCAAAACCTGGATATGTACCCTGACCAGGAATGAAACCCCGAAGTTCTTTGGTGTATGGGATGCTGCTCCACCAGGCGACCCACCCGGCCAGGACCTGTTTTCTCTTATTCAAACTTCACTAAATGCTAACATTTTTTAAAAATATATTTTATTGGAATATATTATGCTATTACAGTTGTTCTATTCCCCCCTTCATTCCCCTCCACCCTACCCCCCCATCCCCACCATTCCCCCCTTTAGTTTATGGCCATGTGTCTCAAGTTCTTTAGATTCTATATTTCCCATACTACTCTTGCCCTCCCCCCATCTATTTTCTACCTACCATCATGCTACTTATTCTCTGTACCTTCTCCCCCTTCTCCTCCTCCCACTCCCCTGTTGCTAACCCTCCATGTGACCTTCATTTCTATGGTTCTGCTCCTGATCTAGCTGCCCTCTTAGTTTGCTTTTGTTTTAGGTGTGGTCCTTAATAACTGTGAGTTTGCTGTCCTTTCACTGTTCATATTTTTTATCTTCATTTGCTTAGGTAAGTCCCTTTAACATTTCATATAATAAGGGCTTGGTGATGATGAACTCCTTGAATTTGATCTTATCTGAGAAGCACTTTATCTGTCCTTCCATTCTAAATGAAAGCTTTGCTGGATAGAGCAATCTTGGTTGTAGGTTAAATGCTAACATTTCTTAATGTATTTATTTTAACCAACTTGGATCTCACATCTGTGAATTGCCTAATTGTACACATGCTTATTTTTCTCTTGGATTCTCTGGCTTTTTCTTTAGGTAAAATCCCTCATTAGCTTTTTTTTTTTTTTTTTTTTTTTAAATCTTTAGAGGGGAAGGGAGGGAGAGAGGGAGAGAAACATCAATGTATGGTTGCCTCTCGTGAGTCCCCTGGTGGGAACTGGCCCGCAACCCAGGCATGCACCCCAACTGGGAATTGAACTGTGATACTCTGGTTCGCAGACCCGCGCTCAATCCACTGAGCTTTTAAAAAAAGAACTTGAAGGTGCCCTGTCTGGTGTCGCTCAGTGGATTGAGCAGGCCTGTGAAGCAGAAAGTCACTGGTTCAACTCCCAGTCAGGGCACATGCCTGGGGTTCAGGCCAGGTCCCCAGTAGGGGGCACACAAGAGGCAACCATACACTGATATTTCTCTCCCACTCTTTCTCCTTTCCTTCCCCTCTAAAGATAAATAAATAAATAAAATATATTTTTAATAAATAAATAAAAGTCACAAACCATTAAAGAAAATAATGATTCAAATTTAAAGACATTAAAATTCGAGCCTTCCAAAAGTATCGAGATAAAAATCAGATCAGTGAGAGCTGGGGGAGAGGGGAATGTGCCTGAATGAAGAAACTGTTCTATGTCTTGACTGTAATGGTGGTTCTATATTGTATGTGTCTGTCAAAACTCACAGAATTGTTCACTACAATGGGTAAGTTTTACTGGGTATAAATTATACTTTAGTAAAATACAGTATATTTTTTTTTAATTAGCCTCTGTTTGACCAAAGACATCATGAACTGCTGTCTTAGTCTGCTCATGCTACTATAACCAAATTCCATGCACTGGGTGGTTTAAACAACAGACATGTATTTTTCACAATTCTGGAGGCTGAGAAGTGCAAGATCAAGATGGCAGCAAATTGACCCTGCATGGGTAGCTCAGTGGCTTTAGAGCATCGTCCCCATAGGCCAAGGTTGCGAATCCAATCCCCAGTCAAGGCACATACAAGAAGCAACCAATGAATGCATAAATAAGGGGAACAATGAACTCATGTTTCTCTTTCTCTCTCACTCTTTCTCTAAAATCAATCAATAAATTTTTTTAATGGCAACAAATTTGCTCCTTTTAAGAGAGCTCTCTTCTTGGATTGTGGTGAAGTGGTAAGGGCTTCTTGCTAGGTGTAGCCTCCCATGGATACCATTAAATTGGGGGTTAAGGAATTTGGGGGAGCACAATTCAGACCATACCAACTATGAAAAGATTTAAGATTTTCCTTTTTATGTATTTATTTTTAGAGAGAGAGGTGAGATCAATTGCCTCGCACACACCTTTGACTGAGAACCTGGCCCACAACCAAGGCCTGTGCCCTGACTGCGAATCAAACCAGTGTCCTTTTGGTTCACAGTCTGGCACTCAGTCCACTGAACCATACCAGCCAGGGCACAACTATGAAGAGATTTAGAGCAGATTTAACTGACAAAGCATTTCTTTCCAGAACATATGAAGATTCCTCAAAAATCAATAAAAGAACAGCCACCCAGTATAAAAATGGACAACAAGCCCTGGCTGGTGTAGCTCAGTGGATGGATCGTGGGCTGTGAACCAAAAGGACACTGGTTCAATTCCTAGTCAGGGCACATGCCTGGGTTGTGGGCCAGGTCCCCAGTGGAGGCCATGTGAAAGGCAACCACAGACTGATGTTTCTCTCCCTCTCTTTCTCCTTCC